CGCGGCATGGCCCGAACCCAGGCACATGAAGCAGCTGGCATGCTGGTCCGTGCGCTGGAGCCTGACCCGACACGCCGAGCAGCGACGACGTCCGACGCCGGAGGGCGAAGGGGAACTCGGACGAACAATGGAAGACATCTCAGCAGTGAAGTAAGTAACGTAGAAGTGTAGATCTCAATCGGCGCCAGAGTGAAAGAGGGGGCGCAGCTATGGTGCGGGGGCTTTTATAGAGGAGGGTCGCTAGTGATTGGAGCATTTTTTATTTGATCTCTCTGGCGTCTGTGACCTGGGGGTCACGTGATATCCCACTAGCGAAGTCGGCTAAGGGACGTAGCACTATGACATAGAACTCACACACACGCACGCCCACGCAGTCACACACACAAACACGCGCCAGTCAAACAGAGCTTGTTGTTTCTCACTCAGAAGATCAAAATGAGTCACAATGGAAAGCTTGGCAGGTCAGTGCTAAAGCATGAAGATATATCTCCAAGACCATGCAGGTTAACAGTTTTTTTTTTATTCTAGCTCCACTAACACCCGTACATTTAGCGTTTGATAATGTTGCTCAAGCAACATTGTTGTCGATTGGTCTTGGTTGATTGCTCCTGGTATTTCATTTTCACCTAAGTGACCTGGGGTCAAGCCCCGGTGATCCTATTGAAATGAATGGCTTGTGCTCAGTAGTGCATGGGACTTCACGGAGACCGGGAGATTAGCATAACTCGCCTATATTTGGGCATCGTCTGTTCCTCCCGGTTCTGCCCACTGGACGAGCTCCCATGACGCGCTACGCCAAATATGCGTGTGTGGCTTTCATGCACGTGCACAGAGGGGCTCAGAGCTGCTGATCAGAGCTGCTGATCAGAGCAGTGGTAGAGCGGCGTCAGAGTGGGAAAGAAAACAGCAGAGTTTGTGGCAGTAAAGTGTGGATTTAAAAAAGCCAAAGGATTTAAGAAGAAAAAAAGTTTAGGATGACAAGGGACACTAAAATCCCCACAAAATTTGATCTTTATGAAAGTTGTAGGATCTGTCAGCTGAAGTGGCGCTGTTTTAGTTTACATTGAGATCTATGGGGGAAATTACTGTGTTGCCGTGTGAATTTAGTCTGCAGTACCACGGGCACCCTCTGTGTCCGTAGGTGGGACAGCTATAAGCTAGTAATACCCTATCCAGTTAATACTAGAAACTTGCAATGGCTGAAGCCATTGCGATTGACTGCGGAACAGATCTAATGTGGAAATCTGCTAAAAAAAATCCTTGAAATCCTTTAAAAGGCCTTGAAACTGTTAAAATACTTGATAGATATTTGAAACTCCTGAAGTCCTTGAAATTGTTGAAACCTTTAAACTCCTGAAATCCTTGAAACTGTTGAAACATTGAAACTCCTGAAATCCTTGAAACTTTTTTTAAACCTGGAAACTGTTGAAAGTGTGGAAACTCCTGAAATCCTTGAACCTCCTGATATCCTTGAAACTGGTTAAATTCTTAAACAGTTGAAATCCTTGAAACTACTGAATGTATTGAAAGTGTCCTTGAAACTGAAAAATCCCCTCACCGCTGAAACAATTTGGTTCCTGTAACTAAGGAAACCTGGTCTGTGGTCATTATCTGGTGGTGGTCTGAGTCTTCGTTTGGGTCTTGGTCTGGTGGTATAATGCAACCTATTAGGTTGCATTATACTGGTTTACATGGAAAAATCCCTATTAGGTTGCATTATACTGGTTTACATGGAAAAATCCCTATTAGGTTGCATTATACTGGTTTACATGGAAAAATCCCTATTAAGTTGCATTATACTGGTTTACATGGAAAAATCTCTATTAAGTTGCATTATACTGGTTTACATGGAAAAATCCCTATTAGGTTGCATTATACTGGTTTACATGTACAAATCCCTATTAAGTTGCTTTATACTGGTTTACATGTAAAAACCCCTATTAGGTTACATTATAGTGGTTTACATGTAAAAATCCTTATTAAGTTGCATTATACTGGTTTACATGTAAAAACCCCTATTAAGTTCCATTATACTGGTTTACATGTAAAAACCCCTATTAAGTTCCATTATACTGGTTTACATGTAAAAACCCTATTAAGTTGCATTATACTGGTTTACATGGAAAAATCCCTATTAAGTTGCATAATACTGGTTTACATGGAAAAATCCCCATTAAGTTGCATTATACTGGTTTACATGAAAAAAACCCTATTAAGTTGCATTATACTGGTTTACAAGGAAAAATCCCTATTAAGTTGCATTATACTGGTTTACATGGAAAAATCCCTATTAAGTTGCATAATACTGGTTTACATGGAAAAATCCCCATTAAGTTGCATTATACTGGTTTACATGTAAAAAACCCTATTAAGTTGCATTATACTGGTTTACATGGAAAAATCCCTATTAAGTTGCATTGTACTGGTTTACATGGAAAAAACCCTATTAAGTTGCATTATACTGGTTTACATGGAAAAAACCCTATTAAGTTGCATTATACTGGTTTACATGGAAAAAACCCTATTAAGTTGCATTATACTGGTTTACATGTAAAAACCCCTATTAAGTTGCATTATACTGGTTTACATGGAAAAATCCCCATTAAGTTGCATTATACTGGTTTACATGAAAAAAAACCCTATTAAGTTGCATTATACTGGTTTACATGGAAAAAACCCTATTAAGTTGCATTATACTGGTTTACATGAAAAAACCCTATTAAGTTGCATTATACTGGTTTACATGGAAAAATCCCTATTAAGTTGCATTATACTGGTTTACATGGAAAAATCCCTATTAGGTTGCATGATTACACTGAAGTCCTTGAAACTGCTGAAGTCCTTGAAACTGCTGAAGTCCTTGAAACTGCTGAAGTCCTTGAAACTGTTGAAGTCCTTGAAACTCTTGAAATCTTGAAACTGCTGAAATCCTTGAAACTGTTGAATCCTTGAAACTGTTGAATCATTGAAACTGTAGAAATGTCTGAAAGAGCTGAAGTCCTATTAAAATGCATGGGCCTATTAAAATGCATTGCAGAATTCTCAATGCAGATTTTTGTCCGATTGCGGAAAAACCGGAAATCGCTGAAGTCCCAAAAGTAATAGCAATAATCTCCCAAACATGTGGAACGTTTTGATGTATAACTTGTGGAAATTGTTGAAAATGTGAAAGCTGTGAAACGTGTCAAAAAAAATGACGGAATAAAGAAATACAAAACCAATGGTTGACTGCGGAAGGTTCCGCAGTCAATCAATAATAGATCCCTGATGGGGCCACCATGGGCACCGAAAGATAAGCGGAACTTGCCATATTTGGGCATCCTCTGGTCCTCCTGGTTCTGCACAGTGGACAAATCCCATAATGCTTTGCGCCAAATACGTCCACATTCTGACCAATCAGCGGCTGCTAAGCTAGAGCAGGAGGCAAACGAGTAAAGTTTGTCGCACTGAAGTGTGATAGAAAACCAAAGGATTTAACAAGAATAAAAGTTGCAAGGACGACAAGGGACACTAAAATCCCCACAAAATCCTACTTTTATGTAAGTTGTTGGTTCTCTGTCAGCTGAGGTCAATCTGTTGTAGTTTAAACATTGTTTTCTATGGGACATTTTTCTGGGTAGCCCATGTAAATTTAGTACTGCGGGTGCCACCCATGCCCGTGGTGGGACAGCTATAAGCTACTGTTACCTTATTTATTAAAATAGATCCATGCCAGGGATATATTACTCTTTCTCCCCTAATCAATCGAATCAATCTTTCACTTTTCATGCTTTCAGGAAAACAGGAATTGCAGGACTTGATCACCTTTTATACTGCTCTAATAATTTTCAGGGTATTTCAAAATTCTCAGCCTCATAATATAAAACTCTGTAAGAGATATGGTCAAAATGATTAGTCTAGGAAGAAGCAAATAAATAGTGTCTTAATTGAGAATTATTTTGAACTAAAGCCCTCAATACATTAACTTTTGATACACAGGTTTAGGTCTTGATGCAGCTTGGATATATCTGACAGTTGGTTCTGTTATAATCCGGCTCTAGGCTATAACCAAGGATGCTCCAAACAAATGTCAATAATAAAATAGTTTATTAAGAATGAAAGCCAAAGTAAACTGTTGCATTTGCAGCATTCTCTTGTGCGTTTCCTTCTACAGACATGATTAAATTAACTTAAATATGCACCGACACGTATACTCGTTATTGGCAAGGTGAGGAGCGCACATCTATGCTGTAAAATTGTGCGCTTCTCCCGATAAAGCGGCAACAGGAAGTGCCAAAATAAAACAAGGGCTCATCAATATAAAACTACACTGACACAATTCAAAGTGCATCACATAGCACATAACAACGTAAATAATTACAGTTTTATGGGAACACTGATATTAACATAAACTTATGTCAAAACGGTGTGGGCGCTCAGGTGCAGCGCTGAACCGAGCCAGCAGGAGCCCGTGGATGGAGGCGGGTCTTTTATGTGCCTTGGACCTAGCACAGCATAGATGTATAATAACCTGGAAGACCTGAAAACTTCTGTTTAGCATCTAACCCCAAACTTCACTTTTTAGAATGAGGATTAGCCATGTTGTCGCCCACAACTGTGTTTAACCCTTTGAATTTGTGAATGGACCCAACTGTGAAATGTGCAATTGTAACAAAAAGACTGAATACAATGTAATTATAAAACAGCTCTCTTTAAACCATGATAAGACAAAAGCTTTAAAAAACAACTAACTTATTAACTCAAAGTAATTTATACTTTTCCTCTTTAAATGAATTGAATTACAATCATTATTTTGGGAATCCTTGTCCTGGCATTGCTGGTCTTTTAATTGTTGAGCAAGATATTTTGGGTCTTAACTCTGAACTGAACCTGTTATCTTTAACAACATTAATAAATTGTGAAGTTACAAATTTGTTTTACTTTAATCACATTTTCAGAATAAAATGGGCTTTAAAAGAAATTGTAGAAAACCACAACAAAGTCCAGAACAGTCCAGTAAACTATGTGTCTGTCCTGGTGATCTCATTTATGTACCACTCTGGTAGGAAGCCATACTGCGAGTCTCTATGAATAGTGAAACCAACATCTCTGCGCGGCTCCCAGGAGAACAAGTAGACAACACTACAAGTAAGACCAGAGATAAGTCATGTATCATCATTTCTCATGTATATCATATGCACACTATACCTTGGATCGTCCTCAGAGACCACATCTTTGACAAATGTCAGAAAGTCATTGCAAAAGTTCATACAGACTGTAGGTTTCCAGCAGTTATTCTCACCCTGTGAAAAAGAGCATTTCCTTTGCAGTTTTAATCACACACTGTAGTATTAGTGACAAATTAAATATGCACCTTAATCAGTTGTGACATTTTAGAAATCTGGAATGTCTCCACTTTAACAACGATGCCATCATGATCCCGAAATCCTGCAACAACTTGAGGCACACCGGGCATAAATGACTGCGCCCACCACTTTAACAACTTGAACCTAAAAGGACAAATATGAAAAACACAAAAACACAAACGGACTTTTCTAAATCGATACTTACCTGTGGAAGTTGCTGCGTTGTTTTGGAGTGCAGATTTCAGCTGATGTTTTGAGCTCGACGTAGCAGGACGGGGGATCTTTGGGCTCTCTCACGCGGCAGTCCACTTCACCAGAGAACAGGAGTTTGTGAGTTGCGAGGCGAGTTCGCACCACTGTGCAATATGCTTCATTAGTGTTAACCACTCCACTGGGGTCAGGTGAACTCTCAATTTTATCTGAAAGAACAAGCAACTGTTTTTTATCATTGTGGAGAATAAATAACCTGTAAAACAAAAGTTCACTATGATGGCACCTGCACACATGTACTGCTCAAACTTGTATCCCCAGTACATCATTTCACTGTGTCTCTCAGTGCGATTGTCACGATCCCTGCGAGCCGCCTCAGTCTCTACTTCGCTGATGTAAATTGTTCCCCTAAACCTGGTCACAGCGAACATCCAGCCTTCTCGATTCTCATATGGAGTAGTGAGCAGTTTGGTCAGATGTCCCCGCCACATCACAAAGTCCACATCCAGAGTGCTGTTGACAATAGAGCAGAGATTAATGTAGGCATCATATTGTAATCTAAAACATTAGATGCACTTACGGTTTTGACGAATCTTTTGTTGTGACTTTAGCTTTGTTGGAAGTAATCCACCTCAGGATATGATCCAGCTTCTCTTTCACACTTTCATCTCTTTTTACATAACGGTCTTTGAATCCATCTTTGAGATCAAAGCTGGGATTCAAGGCTGGTTCTGCATAATATCTCAGCTGTCTCCTGTCATTAAAAAACCTTCGTTCCGAGTCCAAAGAGAAACAGCCGACCTCTATGGGCTGTTTATAAAGAGGAAAGTCTTTCTCATATAGCTCCTTTCTGGTGCTCAATGTACTGGGACCAGATTCATGCTGACGCTGGCTGTTCGGACGAAAGTGTGTATTACGATGAGGACTTCCGTCTCCCCCGTGTTTTCTTTTCCTGTGGTGATGCAGTTCCCGGGATGTGTGGGGAAAGCGGTCCATTATGATCTAAACATAGACAACATTGCAGACAGAACCCAATATCGGAATATACAGTTGTAAGAAGCCTGTAAACAACATTGTGCATCGTAGGTTCAGCTATATTCACACGATAAGTCAGAAAAATTATTTGTATTCATGTAATATATCAAATAACTTACAGATCAATGCACACAATCTTCATATTTTTGATGGCTTCTATTAACGCTATGCTAAGCCAATGCTAAAAACAATGTGACTTCCGGGTTTTTTCGCCTCCGGACCACCGTGTGTCACTATAACAAAAAGGTCTAAAGAACGACTGCTATGACTTGAAGAAATACATTTAAACTTGCTTTTAGCTCCGTGTTTTAAGGACGTCATTTGGGATTTTCAGTGACATGTGGTATTTTTCCTAAATGCTAAACCTCTGGTAAGTGTGCTAGCCAATCACGTGTTTATTTGGTGTTAGCATTTTAGCACAAGTGCAAATGATAACAATGCTTCTTATTCATTGCCATGTTTGACAACTCACTGCATTAAATTGCGTTTTTGTCACAGAAATGAACAGGAAACGGGCTTTGATTTCTGACGCTTTTGTTTCAAGAAAGAGAAAAGATGTCACTACGAGATTCGGGCTCAGTGATGTGGACGGTGTGGACATTCATTACAGTTTGTTTGTGGTTTTATTTGATTCTTACTGCTGATACTATGTCTAATATTATGTTTAACAGGACCCACTGACGTCAAAGCCATGGTGGAGTATCTCATGACCCTATTCCCCAGAAGACTTTTCAACGATGCTCTACCTCAAATTGTGCTAAAACATCAACTGTACAGTTTGATTAGTGATAAGACTATGGTCGACAAAGGATTGGTAAATTATAATTGATAACAATTATGAAAGTTTTACAAAACACAGTAAAAAATATGCCATAATGCATGATTCAAGCATTTATCGCATGTATATTTTATGTTTTAATTGCAGAATAAATTGCGGGAACAAGGAGATCTTCTGATGTTTCAACTAGGTTTTCATGCAGAAGCTTTTGGATTAGTTTTTGCTTCAGATTACAAAACCAAAGTCTTGGCAGGGCAAGACGGCTGCAATACTCAAGAGACTGTGCAAAAGTTTCTTGACAAAGTTGTGTCATCCTGCACAGATCTGAGCTTCAGCAAGGACAAGATGCTGAAGGACTTTTTATTTACAGATGCTGAAATCACGTATGGATAAAACTGACTATTTTACAAATGCTAGTATTCAAATATTACAACACCACAGTTTACAAATTCCTCTGATCATCTAGGCAGCTAGTAAAGTCAGGGGTGCTGACTGTGAGGGACGCTGGCAGCTGGTGGCTGGCTATTCCCAACTCCGGAAAATTCACCAAGTACTTTTTACAAGGTATATATTCCATACTTTCATACTTTCATTCCATTTTCCAACATTCAAGTTTTCTCACAGTTGTTTCCCCTTTTTAAGGTCGTAAAGCAGTACTCAACATGGTAAAGAAGTCAAAATATAATGAAGTCTTAAAGGTTGATCTAGAGGACCGGAAAACCCCTGCTCAAGTGAAATTCCACATTAAATACCACATTCATGATATAGTTGGCGCTGAGCTTGTTGAAAGGTAATCCAACTTTTAACACCATCAGTTTGCTAAATAAAAATAATGTCATTGATCCTTTTTCTGCAGTATACCGACAACTTCAGGAACATTACTACGTTATGTTGATTGAACCATGAAATGCTAATGAACAGCAATTAAATCAAATAACAAATGGTAAATGATATGTTGTGCCAAACATATTGAACCTTGTGGGTTTATTTGTAAATGTATTCAAATGGCCATGTCATTATTTGATTAAAGATGAAAATATTGGCTTGTGTGTTGTGCATTTTTTTTTATTACATAAAGAATTCTGACACAATAGTAATACGTCATGTACAATGAATCAATGCCTTTGTAATAACCAAAAAAACTGCCAGCAGTAAAGTAGTACTGATTTAAAGTTTACTATTTTATTTTGCAAGCATATGTTTGACGAAAATTGCGTATTCTTTTTAAAATGTTAAATATGTATTTATAATTGGTTGGTGTTGGTTAGTAATAATATATCGTTGTTAATTAAGAAATAATTTAATATACCAACTATAGATCCATGCTGTAAACCAACCATGGATCTATGATAATAACCAACGTGTGAATAAAACCGGAAATGGCGTCATAACGATGCGTATTTATTTTCCCAGAACTTTGACTGTCAGGCAATTTTCGACATATTTGGGCATTTAGATATGCTTTTGCGGTGTCTTGTCATTAGTATTTTTAACATCTATTTCAGAGATTTAGGTTTAATTTTTCTATGGGTTTCATAAGGCTCAAAGGAAACAATTTAGAGCAAACACGTTCGAGTGTTGCGGCGTATCGTCCCTCCTACAACCATAACAGGAATCCATAGGAGCGGGTGGAGCGCTTGTCCACAACAGCTAGCCAGCTGAAGAGAAAAAATGGACTACCGTGTCACAGAACGATAGAAACATGGACTGCCAGAGCTCTTCAGCCTTATCCTTTGCCTTTTCGCAGCTTCACTGACCCAGCACACCGCGGAGACTGGCGGGCAGACCGGGCCTGTATGGCAGGTCTGTCCCATCTAGTGGTCCGATTTTCGGGCTCAGCTGGTCGGACTTATGGGGTGTTTTCCAAAGGCTTAACCAGGACTTTGCTGATTTTCTTTGATCTTGCCTGGAGACTGAGAATAAGGTTTCCATATATCTACCTTGTTGCTTCGATGATGTTTAATGTCCGATTGCAGGTAAGCTAGTGTTGACAGTGAAACTAATGAGGATTAACATAGTTGGCTAAAAATACAGGGCAGGCCGTAGGGAATTGATGTGGGAAAGATGTTATTTTAAGTGTGCAACAAAGCATCTATGTTGCTTGAATTGCTTTGATTGCTTTACTATGTACAGTGTATAGTTAGTTTTTAAAGAGGCCTATTTGTTCTACTGGCATTTGTACATTACATTATAAGTATTGGTTGGTGCATAATCTTGTGTATAGCTTTACACATTTTTGTGTTATAATGTCTTAACGGCGTCTTCATATGTTCCCACAGGTGCACATTGAAATCCACTGAGGCTTCACTCGCCTGAAGTCCATGTTGTGAGCACTGCCAGGTTGACACCCAAGTATGACATTGTTATAAAGGAGGAGGAAACTGAAAACTGCTATTATGACAATGCATCAAAGTGGCATGCGCTCAGCTGATGTCACAAGCCCAGTGCCTTCAGAAGGTGTCCACAGAGATGAGCTTGCAATTTGCTGCACATCTTAGAATGATGGAGAACTGTGGGACAAAATGGATCGCTTTAACACTGCCCAGTTGGACAAACAATCAAACTCAAAAGCAAACTGGATCTTTGCTATAACTCTGGAATTGAAAAGGAATATTGTGTTTCATCTCACAAACACGTGGTACTAGTTTTTATTGATTATTGTTTTGCATGCCACAATCAGCATGTTCTGTCAAAGCTACAGAGATACCGATGGTTTGTTGGTGACAAAACACTGCACCAAACTGCACAAAAGTACCAAAACTGTGATTTTAATTAACGCAAGCTTTGCAACATTTTGTTTACACACAGACACACACACACACACATACAGACCATCTCATCCCAATGACATGGATAATTTATTGTGAATTTACCAGTCAGCAGGTAATATGTGTTTGAAGGATTTGTTGTGATGGTCGAGTTTGGCTTGAAATAAATTATTGCAGCTATTCTTTTCAATTGTTTTTTAACAATCTTTCCAATTTCTGTACTTAAGAATTTGGCTATTTTTAAATACAAATCAGAAGAGACTTTCTTTTTATTTAGTCTAAGATGCATGTATATTATTCAAATGTGTGTGATTACAGTTATCAAAAGGAGTATGTTAATATAAACCGTAACAGATTTTTCAGTGTTTTAAAAAATTCTGAATTTCTGAATACACCAATTAAGTAATTATTTTAGTTTATCTTGTAATAATATATATATATATATATATATACACACATACCTACCTCAGCACTGTACTGGACACAAATAAATACAAAACACTTCCACGTATATCCATAGAGGGGCAGCAGATTGCCACAATTCAAAATCTGTATAATCCCATGATCCCAAGATAGAAAATTACATTGATAAACTTACACATATTTTGAATTGATCGGGTTTCAAGTGACTATAGTGTACTTATTATTATAAAGCCACTTTGCTTTCATTATAGAATAGCTTACACAAAACTTTTCCTTTGATCCATAAACTGCAGTCACAAACTGATTTGGCTCTTTTCTCCAATATACACTTCTCAAAAATATGTTTTCAATTTGATTATAGTTTTAAAGTAGCAAAGAAAAGTCACAACAAGTCACAGTGATGCAAGGCTGCAGCAGGCAACAATCATCAATGGTTGCCAAGGAAACTGTTTCTGACACACGCCCCCTTTCTGTACAAGAGTGTATCTTGAGGAGAATAAAAAAGTAAATAAATTCAATACTTTTAAATTCAATAGCAATAATAACATACGAGAAGCAGACCTGCAGAGGATGATATGCATGAGATATTCTATTTTTATCCTGAGAAAAAGGTTTGTGGAATTGAGATGAAACAGCTGTAGCCTCTGGCTCCACATGTGCTTTAAGTGAATGTGTTAGAGAGCGATAACATGCAGAGAACATGGCTGGAGTTCAGTCAAAGCCCCAGTGTGTTTGTTTAAAGCCTCACAAATGCACAGTATATATGTACTGTATACTGTTCTGGTCAGAAAATATAAGATTTTTGTGCGAATAGCCAGTTGTATGACATATAGACAAATAGCACATTTAAAATGACTCCTGCTGACCAAAGTCATGACGTCAACAGTCAACCTTAGCCTTGGCATTTCTAAATTACATACATGAACTCGACACATAGACTAGTATTAGCGAGCATAAATGTGATCAAACATTAATTTTAATCCTTGTAGCTTTGATGCCCTGGTCCCCAAAATCCTCTTTAACCCGTAATAATTCCACAAAAGCCCCCCTCCTCCTCATGTGTTCGTGGTAACCTCTGGTGCACCTCTAGTTTAGGCTGAGCAAATGCAGCGTGTTGAAAGGGAATGAGATGATGAGCTCGATGCTGCTGACCTCAAAAACTGAATCAAAGCAGAAGGAGGAAAAGGGGGAAGGGGCGAATGAGAAATGAGGGGAATTTAAGCAAGATGCAAGTTACTCTGAATGCACTTTAGCAGCATTGTAGAAATGACAGGTCAAAGAGAATTCTTGAAATTATTTACAAAATCATATTCATCATTTATTGCCCTGTTTTTGCTGCATGTTAGAGAACTGACAGACACTTCCCAGCAATAATTATTTTAAAACAAATGCACAGTCCTAAAATACCTAAAATGATGGATAGATTTTTTTCAAAAACCTTATATTTCACAGTTGTTGTTTTTTTTGTTTTTTTACCACATTAGAAAAAAGTTTAGTAGAAACTTTATTTATAAGAAATGTCTTATAGGTAGAAATAAGACAATATAGACATGTGTTAGAAACACAATAATAAAAAGTTTCTCACAATTTCAATTGTGAAGAGATCTTATGAAATCTATCCATTTTCATTTCTGGGTCGGGGGGTAGCAGCGAGAGCTGCACCCAAGTCACAGAGCACCAGCCCCTCACTGATTCTGCTGCAGGTGGTGAGTCCACAGGACACAACGGCAGCAGACATGAAGTAGGTCTTGTGGTGGGCTCAAACCCACAACCTTCAGGCCCAAAGGCTTACCAACTCAACCACTGTCGCCCCAGTCTAGTCAATCTACATCTATAAATACTAACTCTTGTAAAAGTAAAAGTACTTGAATCATTCCCTTACTTTAGTAAAAGTATACAATAATAGTACAAGCAGTAATTTAATAAAACATTAAAATATAACATTTATTTTTGTTGAATAATTGACAGTATTCATGACATTTAAAGCTTTGTCTTTGAAACACTAATGTTGTAGAAATGTTTCATAAAGGCTGAGAATCTGACAATAAACAGAAGAAACAGAGTTGAACTTCAGCCAAAAGGTCGGAACTTAGAAGCATGGCTAACCACAAAGAATAAATAGTCCAATAGGGTTCATTTGGTCTTCTGATAGATTTTACAAGACCAGAGTGTTTTATAGCAGTCGAAAGCATACAGATATTTGGACATAAAAGAAAATAAAAAAGTTATGTACGTAGCTCAATAAAAATACCTGCACGTGCACCGAATACGGCATGTTGCTGCTTGAACCTGTGGGAAAATCAGAATATAAACATAATATTTAGTACAGAGCAGCATCAAGACTCATGTTGGCCATACAGGGTCCCCTTTGTCCATGCAGGGTTAAAAAGAACCTCATACACATGGGTTAGAGGCAGTCGAGAGGAAATCATGCAAATACTCGGCTTCCTTTGACCTTTTAACATCACAGATTACACCCAGTCCTGCAAAAGCACTCATTTGTTGACTTTTTCCAACTTTTTTATTTTGAAGATGATCAGATTCAAACTGTTACACAAATACACAGTCACATGATTTAGGAAAAAAGCAGTGAGTATGGCCCTCTTGACCTTTAGCAAAGAGAAGAGTGGATTTTGTGTCTACATGTGTAATTAAAGGTGGATAAAACCCGAGGCCGTGTGGGGGCAACTGAAGCATATGCAACACCGTGACTGCTCAATCAGGTCACGTGAAGTCGGTCAGGAGTCTCCCAGGCGTGGGCTTCACCATGGCTTCACCCCAGGGCCAGTCCCTCTCAGACTATCTCCCCTCTACCTTTCATATGCCACCAGTGTCTGTCTCATGGGAAATACTTCTTTTTGTCAATTAGGGCAGAGCTGCAACTGACATTAAAAGAGCTGTGAGTAATCATTATGACAACCTGCTATTTTATTCATGTGATGGCTTAAGATATGTTCTGACCATCGGCATTGGCCATTTATACTGTGTAGTTCAGAGAAAAAAATAATAAATCTATAACCTCTATATCTTTGGCACAGCATAAAAAGGGTAAGAGCTGCCAATGCATTTTCAATTCACTTCCACTTCCAAAGCTCACAGTCCAAACTTTGTCACTAGCAAAATCTCTTGTTTGCTTGCGTTACTATTTTGGATTCATAATGAAACATACATTTCTCTTTTTAACCATACAAAACAATTGCTAGGAGAGATATAGATTTCTCATATTGGCAATATATGATTAAGATTAAGGCAAGATTTCCTCACTATAGGGCGACCTGTCAGGGCCCTTCTACTGATGTTGAATCTGAATCTCGAATGTAGGATTATAGTCGTTATCTGCTGTTTCTGCATTTTCTGTTATACATTTATCTTTTCCTCAAACTGTGCCCTTATCGGTGCAAAACGATTTTGTTTTAAACAGGTGTCATTCTGCAAAAACAAATAATAAAAGAAAAAGATGATGACAATCTGTCCTATGTGCTTTGAATGCATATGACCTATTTTTTCAGTAGAAGAAACAATATTCAAATGACCCATGTGCTACACTTTGGGTCCTTAAGACAAAAATAAAACTCAAAGTTAAACCATCTGCTTCAGCCCGTACACCAATGTGACCCCTTCAGTGGCCCAGGGTTCAGAGGAGTCAGCCAGAGGCCCACAGTCCTGCACCTCACTAGACCTTATGGTGCCTTTCTTCCACCAGTCTGTCCTAGGACACATGTTATACTTTCAGTGTTTCATTTTATAATACAAAAAATTCAGCAAACATTTTGAGACAATATGGAAGACTTGTTGTGATTCTTTATAATAGCAATAACGGCAACAATAAATATTAATATAATAACAATAAATTATGGCAGTATTCTCCATGTCTCTTTAAGCTTTTCGCTTCCAGGGAGTTATAGTGAGTCATGGAAACCCTGATTCCCCGGTCTGGACCTGAGGACTCCTTGTCAATAATGCATGGATCAAAATGTCGTTGGATCTCACACTTGTCAATCATTCTGGTGATAGTTTTAGGTGTTCTCTCTGGAGAGGGCGGTTCTTTCCTTCCATTCGGGAACATCCTCCTTGATACCTTTAACATGATAAAAAAGTGCAAAGTCCAAATCACAGTTGCAGATGACCAGTGATGGAGCTTTCGAAGAAAGGATGTGAGAGCTGCTCTCCTCTGAAGGGGAGCTCTCTAACTGATCACACATGTGCAGAAAGCCTCTCATTCACATAAAGCATGTGCTCCTGCCCGACTCTGTTTATGTAACATGTGTTTGCTGTGGCACTCACAGACCACAGTAGATCCTTGTTCAAAGGTGTAAGAAAGAGAGAGACACTTATACAGTGACAGCCTACCTCATTATAACACCTTCTTCACTGTTGGCTATTTTCGGATGTTCATTATTTCGTTTAGATTGTTCATACATGTAAATGTGAATAGCATCTCTTTGAGGCGGGGATGAATCTCCATTCTCCACAAACCTGACTCGTACTTGACCTGGGGGGTATGTGGGTCGTCTCATGTCTGAGAGATGTCCAAGCTGAACTTTCCACAATAAAATCATGCATAAACTACGCGGAGATGTTTGTGGTGTCCCGTCTTTATTCTGAAGGAGAGAGTTCTGTTTCCGGTGCGCTCCGGTGCACAAGCACTGTCTTTACGCCTGGACTCTGCGAGCGAGCCTCTCGTGGAGGAGGCGCATTCAGAGGATGAGGACATCACGGAGCTACAGCAGCAGTGTGTGAGAGAGGGAAGCCACTAGACCCCGCTGGAGCCGGACACACGCACGGACACACGCACGGACTGGACCCACGCGAACAGCACCGTGACAGACCACCTGTGCACCAGATGCGTCCTGCACACGGGGACCCAAACCCGTCATAATTTGTTGACGCTCCAAGTTTCAGTCCGCTTTCGGGAGGTTTCTTCATCACATGGTCTCCAGAATGGACGAGGACAACCAAGGTAAGAGGTATTTGGTGATAAATCTATCCACTGACTTGTGCTTTATGGAAACTACTATTATGCCTCATTAGAAGAGGTACCACACACTGTTTACAGGCAGAACAGAGAACTAAACAAATTATCGTGTGACCCTGCAGCTGCACATGACTAAATATGATCAATACTATAGAACAGAGTCTTAGTATCTGTTCTAAACGTTTATCCAACCCCTTCATAGCTTACACACTGAATCAAATACTGAGCCTTCATTCTTGTCCCAGCAAGTATCCACAGTAGTTCACTCAGTAAGTCAGTTGGAACCTACAGGTGCTTAAGTGGGGTTATACAGATTTCTCCGTGCACTTATGGCATAAACCTGGCATGTAAAGACAAAGGTGATGCCCACACAGTGACTTGGGCTCTGGGTCCACCTTTTATTCACATGCCTTAAGTAATCTTGTGATTCACAAGCCCTACGTTTGTCAAGTTCTGTGGGATGTGTGCAATTAATCCACAGGGTAATTATTGCTCAATTCCAAAATGTGTGTGTACAGTATACGTGCAAAGTGTATTGAATCGCTAGTTTGTACCTTTTTGATTTCAGGCGATTTGACTTGAAATGAAATTATTTGATGAATCAACTAAATATTATTTCTTAATTCAAGCACACTATTTTTAAGTATCCGTATTATCTTCATGCAGATGATTTTAGTTCAAATCAAGAAAACATGTGACTACTTTAAGTCATCATTGTACTTTCTCTAATGCAAACACTAAAAGAATTAGTCTTTTTTATTATGGTATTTGACTAAATTAATGTTGATTTGTTATAGTTGGAACAGAAAAAGCAGCTTCTCCTGCAAAGAAAGTAAATGAGAAATTGCTTAATGATACTAAAAACGCATTGGTTTTATTGAGCTCTTGTTTTTGGCACTTTTTGGGCACTGATCACATGACATTAATCATTATATCTGGTGGTGGTGATACACTACTATTGTAGCCACAGCTGCCCTGGCTCAGACTGACAGTCAGCCAGGCAACCAGTATGTGCCATCAGCCCAGCCCGGGGCTCCGACCATCATCAACCATTCACACACACACACACATCATTCTAGGCAATATGGGTGAAGTTCTTGCCTAAGGATACAAAAGCAGTGTGGCACTTTACAGCTGCAGCGACCCCGTTGCGGCAACTGGTGTTCCCAGAGGTCTCCCATCGCAGTACTAGGATTAGGCTTTTGTGTGCAAACAACCTTGCAGTGTGGTTCATTTTGGCATTCTAGAGGCAAACGCTTCAGATACAGTTTAAGATTAAGATTAAGATGAAAAGATCCTTTATCGTCCCACTGTGGCGGAATTTCAGATTTTTTCTTTTGCTATTTGCAGTAAAACAACTTTAAAATCCATGTGCAAATAGTACCACAATGTGCACCAGACAAGTACATTAAAAAAAACAAGCTAAGAAATACAAGACACAATCATCTCTGTGAAACCAAAAAAACCAAAACAGTTGATCCACAGTCTTTGGGTCCATAGGTGTGTAAGTGCTGGGGAAGGGGGGGGGGATTGTGTTGGCTGAGTGGAGACCAGGCATAAGGCTGTCATTGTTGCAGCTCCTGGCATCCAGCGGTGGCACACGTCAGCGGTGTCGCCCCACGGACACAGGTCTGGAGCCGTGATGCCAGCCGAGCTCAGCCACAACCGCCCCGGGCCAAACGCAAAGACACTCCACTGATTCAGACGTGAAATATGTTGTCCTGAAGCTTTAGGCGCAACTTGTGCAATATTGGCACATTCATAGACGAGGAGGGAGACTGTTTCTGAAGGTTCACTCACTGTTAAAGCAAGGGTTTATTTTTATAGAGATGACCAAACTAAGGCCCGCGAGCCAAATGCGGCCTTCTGTGACATTTGGTGTGGCCCTCAGCATTACTAACAAAAAGCAGCCATTGAGGCACTTTCACAGCATCATCCAGCCAACTTCACTCAAACAATATAGTCATGCTGTACCTCGTTTGGAAAGCTTGGAACCTTTGGAATCCAGTCAACATTTTGAAATTTGTTTTTGATTATGTCACAAAAGGTTATATATGACTCTAATACGGACATAATATCACACCCCATTTTAAAACTCAGAACTGCCAAAGACCAGTCATTTTTTTTTTTTTTATCTGGGTTGTCGGCCCTTGAACATGTCTGGTTTACTAAAGTGGCCCTCTCACTACATTTTTTGGACGCCTCTGATATAGATAATACGCTTTATCTCAACAGAAAGAGCCTTGTAAGAGTAAAATGTGTTTGCAAAATCGTTTGCATTTGGCAAGAAGGAGCCCTGTGAGTCACTTTTTGGATGCTTTGGGCTGCGAGCTGATTGGCTGAGGGAAACTGCTCCTCTCTTTTTCCCTTTTCTATCTGAAAAAGCTGATACAAAGATGTGACAGAGGCCAGAAAAAATAATTGCAGGTGATCGAGCCAAGCTGTTTTCGATTTTACTACAGTATCTTTTGAGGTAAGAAAGTTTGTCCATTGTTGCTGGTTTTCTGTTTGTCTTGATCAGGTTGGTTATAAGATTCCTTGTAAATTTTCAACTCAACATCCAGACTACATGGGGCTCATATACCTCTGAAACACTGTGAATGAATTGTCCGCATGCTTCTTGTTTTTCCGTAACATCACAGACTCCAGAATCCAGAATCATTAATGCGTTCTTTTCATGTATCCACGTCCCACCTCCGCATCCTCCCACAGAAGCCCACTGCAGCGAGAGAGAGCTACGGGGGCGACTCTCACACACTACCAGACTTGATCCACGCAGCGGGCTACACTTGGCTCGCTATATGTGACGTTCGACCCTTTTGTAGAAAACAAACGAGGTCGTAATAGAACGGCAGAGGAACACGGGGTAAAGAGCTGGACAGATGGAGGCGGTGAGGGAGAGAAGAAGACGGGGAAGGATGAAAGAGGAGGGGAAAACGACAAAATGACAGAGTGATGCCAATATAGGTTCATCCCAGATCAGCACCGTGGAGTTATAGAAGGAGAGATATTCAGTTCTCCAGAGTCTGCTCAGGTTTATGGACAAAAAACATGATCTACATATTATTAATTCAATGCGTTTGTTAGATTACCTTAAATTTACCCAGGATAAAGTTGCATTGTATGTTTTTGGAAAGAGGGGCTGCCATCCCTCACACAAGCAGATGATGCCACCAGGTAAAGTTATTGTCCATAATAAGGTTTTCAATCTAGTTTTGAGAAATAGGCTCAAGGGATATTCATAACACTCTGCATTTTTGTTTTATTCACAGGTGCCTAAATGTCATTTTCAGTTTAGTGTGAAAGGGGAATTATTCAAATTAGGTCCAAACCCAGATACCAGCAATTCCGTCCTTTTTATACTTACCATTTAAGGGGTAGGGGGCTTTGGTGTTTGATATTTCTCTTTGCGATTGTTCCCCATTAGAGTAAACGAGTATCCAAAGGCCAAACTACAGGGCCCCAGTTTCGGGTTGTTAGTCTAGCCATTTGTTTGTAAACTAGGCAAGGAGTGTGAGGGGTCAACAGCTGTGAGTGAACTTGAATGAGAGGCCTCAAGGAACTAAGGCTAAAAAAAACTTTCAAAACGATGTTGGCTCTTGGGCTGTTCGTTTTCAGAGTTTCGGCGATTCTTTATTTTTTTAATATAAAGTACAAGGATTTATTCGAGAAATTTGCAAAAATGGGAATAGATGGAAGAAATGTGCGGAAAAAAACTTGAATCCTGGACAAATACACCAATCATATGATACAGCAAAAACAATAATAAAGTCACATACTGCCCCCTACTACCATCCCCATCCCCCACATAAATAATTTTGTTGTTATTATACCTACCCATAATTCATCTTGCTTTAGTTATTTTACATAGACAAGTGGGTCAAACACAGAAGTAACAGCGACTAATAGTTTATAACTGAGAGCTTTTAATCGACCAATCCTTTGACCAGGGGATGTCTGTAATCAACTATACAGCCCTAGTTCCATAGTTAGCACACATTTTCTTTCTCATGATTATGTCTAATGCCATTTATCAGATTTCCCTGCCCCAAGTGCATACAGGGATCTGTTTGCACACAGACAAACACAATGCAGCCATCACCTCTGCTTTCATGAACGCACAATAGTCCTTCAGTAGTCCATGTGTTCCACTGTATCGTCCAGTGCGGAGTGAGCTCATTGTACGTTTGTGTTGTGAGCAGCTGTACACTCCGGCCAGCGCCACGCTCCTGAGTGATGTCCATATGGTTTTAATCAAGGCTCCGGTCTCGACACACCGCGCTTCGTGACAGCTACACACCGCTCTATTTGTACAATGAAATGAGCAGGATGTGCGGCGTGATGCGTCGGGGGGCTTTTTGTTTTGAGTAGAAGTACCCGAGGTATTTTTTAGAAATAGTTCAAGAATTCCTTTTGTGCGGAGGTTTGAAGCCTTCTATTTCTTTTTTACTTTAATGTGTCATCTTCATTAGTTCACTTTTTTCCCATGATACATACAGCATAGCAAGACACATTTGATTTTTTTTTCCTTTTTCTTTTACCACCATGCTCCCCTTGTGTCAAAAAAGTTAAATAAAACTTACTTAAGAAGAACAGAGTGTGCTTTTTAAGTAAGAATGAATGTGTACCTTATTTTGATATGGTTTTTGTGTATATGGGTTGATTGAGATTGAACTGATGGATTATTTAAATAGTTATAGAACATATAGAGACTTAAACATGCTGAGCAGAAGTCTTTGACTCTCAGCAGATTTAAATTAAAACATGTTTTTTAACCAAACAAAATCCTGTGTAAATAGACTTCTATCTATCTATCTCATGTAGACATTCTCCAGGGGCATCACCTGAGCTTTGTTTTGGTTAAATGTATAAAAAAATCCTATTCATTGACCTCCTGGGATCTAAAGAACGAATCGATTATTCTAAAGAACTCATCCATCCATCTTCTTCCCCTTAATCCATTAATCTGGGTTGGGGGTGGTGGC